CGAAATATACATATTTATGTTTATTATGAAGCGCAATTATGCAAACTTTGCTATAGCATACAAATATGAATTTGTGTTTGTTATATGTGAAAGTTGCTCAATAAAAATAGGGCAAAGGATAGAAATCACATACTTTTAAGACAAAATTACTATTTGCCCTTTATAAGTTTATAATTACAGAAATCCCTCAAACGGATACAATAATATAAGCGTTGATACATTAATCTGATGGGCGAGATACATTAATCGTTAAGTAAGATACATTATATTTTACACATGATACACTAATTTGATGCGCGAGATACATTAATCTGATGCGCAAAAATGAGGGATTTTGGAGATTTGTAAAACTAATAGGGGATAATGGTAATAAGAGAACTTAAATGTGGGATTTCTGTCATTTTTCCTAATATATTGTATCGTGTTTATAATTCAAGGTTGATGTAATGAACGAGATCGAAACAAATAAAAAAATATTTGAAGTCGTTAATTTATCGACTGTAAAAAAAGAAGAAGAGTAATTTCATGTTGAAGGAACATGTTCTTTGATGGAGTTTTGAATTGTTTAACTAATCCATTTTTTGTGTTAATATATTTTATTATTGTTGAATCAATGAAAATTATAGCGCATTATGTAGGATTGGATCTTCTTACACAAATTGAGATATTTGTACAACATATTTATTTATTTTCAATTGTAATTTATGATATTTCGCCAGTATACACTCTTATTTAGTGATGGATATTAAATGTTTCATGTCATAATTTAAAGAAGTGAAAAAAAGACCAAATTAGTGTAAAAGAAAAATTATTTAGACCATATAAACAAAAACAACTCAAGTACATTAGTCATTACTATATTTTTTTCGCGACAAACTTCTTCGTTTTGTTAAAATGAACCAACGATAGTTTTACTACAAACATTTCAGCATTTTGATTTATGATTTAATCATGATAAATAAGTGTGATTTGACGTAAATACAAAGTACACCTAAATTTTAGCATAGTAATTAGTAACAATAACATGATAAAATGCTTAAATTATAAAAAAAAAACATAACAGTGTATTGCAAATAAATAGCTGGCCAACTCTATCATAAATCTGTAGCCAATGTGAGAAGTTTGAAAAATCTTTACTATAAAGAAAGCACAGTAATTATATCCCACATCGCCAGATGAAGAAAACGGATAAAGCAGGTGAGTATAAAATTGGGCCAACGAGGATGAAGAAACATACTTACCTGGACGGGGTCAATGGGCAATCATGAAGGTCCATGGCCTAGGCTGGTGACCTCCATTGCACTTTGGAGGGGTACCTGCCTAAGATCGGCCCAAGTGGTCGAGTCTACGTCATAATTTGTTGCTAAGGGGGCCTGCGTTCGCGCGGCCCCTGCCAATGCTAGTTGAACTTTAATAGGTGGATATTAGATTGAGTAGAGTTTGTGATTTGGGACATAGTGGGAGATGTGTTTAAAACAAAAAATGAAGTGTTGGTAGAGACCTAAGCTGTTGAATGAAATGAAAAAGGGGATTGATAAGCAACAACTACAAGGGTATCAAACTATTTTGCCAAATTATGAAAGTTAGTTAGAGAGTGATCAAAATGAAGAGGGCTGTGTTGATATCTAAAAGTCATTTCTGACCAAGTCTAGGACGGTTGGCTATAGAAGTCATTCATATTGTAAAGAGATTGTTGAAATACAATACATTGATAGAAAGAGAAACTTACATATGGTGTTCAACGACCTAAAAAGGCGTATGATAAAGTCCCTAGGAGAGTCCTCAAGAGATGTTTGGAAGCTAGAGTTGTATCGATGATTTACATTAGGATGATTAAAAACACGTATGATGGAGACTCTGGGTTAAAACAATGAAAGACGATTCCAAATACTCTTCAGTTACAATGGAGATGCACTAAGGATCAAAGCCTTGGCCCGTCCCTATTTGTTTTAGTGATGAATGAATTGATGTGACATATATATTCAAAGGAATTGTGCAGTGTTGTATGTTATTTGCAGATGGAATAGTGTAGACATATCCTAAAGTCTAAAATTTCCAGGTTAAGTAAAATAAAAATGACGTATATAGAGTGCAAATTTAGTGAGATTACGCAAGAGGCAAAAGTGGAAGTGAAGATTGATGCATATAACCAAGAGGATGTTTCAAGTGTCATAAGCTACATAATCTAAGGAGACGAGGAGCTTGATAATGAGGTTCAACATTGCAACAACTATATTTACACCAAAGTTAGAACATTGAAAGGTGACTCAAAACACTTTCTGGACATGATGGAGGCTGCCTATAGGGATCAACCCTTAGTTTGTCTCTATTTCCCTAAGTGATGAAGGGAGTGACGCGACGTATTCAAGAGAAAATATTGTGGTGTATGTTATTTAAAGATGACATAGTATTAATAGAGACACACAATGAAGTTAATGATGTGCTGGAAGTTTGGGGACAAATCCTAAAGTCAAAAAGTTTTAGGTTAGGCATAACTACTAAACATAACACATGAGGTGTAAGTGAAAGTGAAAGTGAAGATCGATGCATAAGTCTTATCTATGCTTCAAGTATCATGGGCTACACAATACAAGGAGACATGAGTTTGATAATGATGTTCCACGTGTTATTGAAGCGTAGGAGAAATGGAGGCTCGCACCATAATATTATGCTATAAGAACGTATCACCATAGTTTAAAAGTAAATTCTATGAAATGATGGTTAAATCAATACTTTTTGAGAAATAATAGATCAAGATGAACCAGTGCATTATGAAGTGTGAATGTTTACACAATGCCATTTTCTACATATTCTATCATTTTCGTGTGCATTTTCAAGTGCAACTTAATGCTAAATATATAAAGGACTAATAAAAGAAAAGGAGAGAGTAGTAAGTTATAGATTATGTGATACAAAGAAAAGCTAACTATTTGATTTTTAAAGCTCAAGCAGATATGTTTCTGTTAATTTGTTGAATAATATCTTATTTTGATTCATAGTTCATAGATTAGAGACAGTTTTAATAGCTAGGCAACTCTTATCATAATAATTCATTACTATGGCCATTGGCCAAGGAGAAAAAGTTTTCTGAAAAACTTAAAATTTGTCCCACATCACCAAATGAAGAAAATGGATAAACCAGTAAAGTGAGTATAAAATTGGGCCAAGGAGGAAGAAGAAACATACTTACCTGGACGGGGTCAATGGACTATCATGAAGGTCCATGGCCTAGGTTGGTGACCTCCATTGCACTTTGGAGGGGTGCCTGCCTAAGATCGGCCCAAGTGGTCGAGTCTACGTCATAATTTGTTACTGAGGGGGCCTGCGTTCGCGCGGCCCCTGCCAATACTAGTCCAATCTTTTGATTGTTGGCCCAATTTCCTGCCAATACTGGTCCAATTTTGCTTCATAATAATTTTCATCTCTGTCGAGGATTATTTTCAATAATAATATAAAATCATATAGTAGATTATTACAACATCTTTCTTTTGGTGAAGGTAGAGGTAGAAAAATTGTTTTTAAAAAATTCTTAGCTCAAGTGTATCAATTAAAGTTTGCTTTTGAAAGACTAGCTCAAGTATCAATTATAAAAACAAACTCATGTTTCATTTGTTTGGATGATGGTTAGATATTGTTTCGTATTGCATTGTGTGGTACTTTTTTATTGTTTTAATGAATATAATGTTTGGAAAGATTGTATTGTTCTCGTTGTTGCATAATGTCACATGCCCATAATTTGAATGATAAACCTACAAGAAAAGTAGTGTGCATGATAGAGTTACTATGAACATATAGGATAAAAGATGAAATATGATTATTAAATAATAAATAAAAACAAAATGAGAAGAAAATATTAAGGTAATAACACGATCACGTCAAATTGGTCGTTATATGAAATAGGTCTTTTCGTCATTACATAACAATGAATTTAAACAATATGTTTAAACAATATGATACGATACAATACAATTTAAGTAACAATCAAAATAAACATAATATTTAAGCCAACAATATAATACAATACAACGGGTAACAACCATCCAAACAAGGTGTTAGTGTCTACTTAAATCTCAATAATTATATACTTACTCTTTCTGGTATAGGTTATATTTTAATTATTTAGATCTAAACTATTGAATGTAGCAACTACTTACTAGGTCTGTTAATAATTTTTATGATTTAGAACCCTTAAAGTGTGATTTGAATGATTTGGCTTGGAATTTTATAATAGAAGTTTAAAGTTCGATATTCTTTGTCTACGACTACACCTTTTTGGAAAAAGTTTGATTCACGAAGCTTGCTTGATATAATGTATCATTTTTATATGATTTGTGGGCTATTGTATAGAATTTTTTTTATGTTATGCAAATTCAAAGAATAACGACTGCGAAGTTTCTTGTCTTCAATAAATAAATATGAATAGTACCAAATTTTCATTGCAACATAAACAAAATTCCCTAAGGTACTCTAGGGTGCACGTACTTAAAGACTAAGGTACTGAGACGTTGGGTAAATTTTACAATTAATTCAAACTAATTTAATTTCAAGAATGCAATTTAATCTAACACGAGTTATATGTGGTCACAAATCAAAGTCATAGCGATAATTGTAATCAACATTGGTATAGCTTGAAATAAATTACAACTCTATGAGTAAAGATTTTTGTAAAATTACGAAAGTTTTTTCATATTCTTCTTACTTTCGTTACGTAGAGAAAATGAATGACTCTAAATTAAAAAAAATCTTTTTAAATATGCATCTATCGTAAAAAAAAAAAAAACACTTTGATGAGAATTATGAATTTTTTTTAATCGGAAACTCATATTTAGAGGTACACTTTTCATAATTCTGTCATTTTTCATTTATTTAATTTATGCTATTTTAAAATATATTTTTTGTAATATGCGTTTTTTAGAATTTAATTAAACTGTCTTGTTGTTTTACCAAATTACCCTTATCCTTAAGGAGTATTTATGTATCATTGCATTTTTATTTTTTCGCTTCTCGTATCTAGGGTTTTCTAAGAGCTTGGCATCTCTTCCAAAACAAAAGCAGCAGCCGCAGTGTAACACAGTGAAACCCTAGCCATGGTATGTGTTCTCAACCACGCTTATTCCTGTACAAATCTCTTTCTAATAAACTGCAATTGCGATTGTTTTGCTTACTGATTCGTATTTTTAATTTTTTGATTTTGATAATATATATATAGTCTCTGGTTGCGAACGAAGAGTTTCAGCACATTCTTCGTGTGCAAAACACAAATGTTGATGGAAAGCAGAAGATCATGTTCGCTATGACCTCTATCAAAGGTATCGGTCGCCGTTTTGCTAACATTGCTTGCAAAAAAGCCGATATCGATATGAACAAGAGGTGATTTTTCATTTCATTTTTAAGCGTATTATCATTATTTTTTGTTTAGATCCAGCTTGTTGATAACCTTTCTATGTATTTTATTGTATTATTATTTTTTTACTTAGATGTATTTGTAGACAGTGTCGAATCTATGATTTTGAGAACATGAGTGCACCACTAAAAAAAAGAGAACAGATGTAATACTTTTCAGTTTAGAATTCACTGTCGAACACTGTTTGATTTTAATATTTTCAGTTGGAATCATTGTTGCACAGTACAGAAAATAATTTGATAGAACTAAGCGCATTTGAAGCTAATATAGCTTAAAATAGTTAATTTGAATATTAACTCCAACAAGTATGAAACTGAGGTGTAGGACGGCCTAGTTGTCAATAAGTGTGTCGAGAACTATGAGATCTCGTGGTCAAATCCTAGCCTAGACAAAAATACTAGGTGATTTCTCGTGCTGAAATCCCAGCCTGGACAAAAATAGTAGGTGATTTCTTTCATTTGTTCTAGCTTTGATGGGCAGAGTTATTTGATATTTGTGGCTGGTGGGCGGTTATAAGCATACATGGAATTAGTTGAGATGTGCGCAAGCTGACCCTCACAACACGAATATGAAAAACCCAAAGAAATGAAGATGTGATTTAGAGACTAAAATGGGTGAGACAAGGAAGTTATAGAGGGACCAATTGTTGTTAGGATAGGATATATATAGTATAGGATATTGGGGTTAATTTGAAATATTGGTATAGACTATTACCATATATACTAACCAAGTACTATTAAAAATGAAATAAATGGATAGAATAAGTATCCTTTACTTTCATTATGATGAACAAAAATAGAAATGGTGGTCTATATGAATGTGAATTAGATGTCTGTCTATGATAGGTGGTTATTTTACTATGTCAGAGGTCGAGCTTAGGAGGGTGACCCATTTGGGGAGGGTTTCTAATTTTGTATTTGTGGGTATGAAATACTTGGCTACTGCTGTTCTGAAGTTTCACTTTGCTTAAGCCACACTATAGTGCATGCACCGAGGAGTTGAAGGTTTGCCTCAAATATAATGATCAATTGGTATGGAGATGTTATGGATAAATATCTTAGTGATTGGTTATATGAAAAGTATGTGCTAATACATTAAACTCTATGTTTAATCTGGGTCACAAAACATAACTTAGAGCCTGATTGAAAGGTCTTATAGGTTTTGACTTATATAAGGCAAAAGCTTTAAGTTAAGAATTCTAACTTTTGACTTGTTTCGTCTTTTTGGCTTAAAAGCACTTCTTTTGTTTTGCCCAAACACTACAGAAGTGCTTTAAGGCTATTTGAGCTTAAGTGCACTTAAATTTATGCCAATCCAAACCGGCCTTAGTTGCACCTGAATTAAAAACATGAAGTGTCCTTTTTCCCTCGATTTTCTCCATATATTCTGTTGTTTCGACTCGACATATTTTACTTAATTACGTTTTTTTTCAATCTGCTGTTTCATATATTTGATATTTGTGTTCTTTGCTTTTCATGGAGCAGATGTATATTTTATTTTTCTTCATTTGCATCTCTTCAATAGAGTGTCCACTTGATTACCAAATTACACTCAACTAAATTACTTTTCTAAAATTACTTTTCTCTAGAAAAGTTAGTTTTCTTATTCCTATATTTATATCCATATGTCGGTGCATGGATCTGGTGCTACTCTTTACCACATCAACTTCCAGTTAGGATAATCTTCTAATGATCTGTGTATTTGGTGATCTAACGAGAGAATATAACCAACTTACAAAACTTGGTAGTTATTTTATTTGTAGTTTATTTTGTGGGCTTGACTAAGTGATTATGTAGCAATAGGTGTTGCATTAAGTGTCCATGTGCTCTTTTTCCAGGTCTATATTTTAGCCTTGCTGTAAGGTTATCTAAATTTGTTTATCTCCTCTGTCTTCTGTAGGGCTGGTGAGCTTACTGCTGCAGAGCTTGATAGCTTGATGGTAGTTGTGGCTAATCCTCGCCAATTCAAAATCCCAGATTGGTTTTTGAACAGACAGAAGGATTACAAGGATGGCAAGTTTTCCCAAGTTACATCTAATGCCCTTGACATGAAACTTAGGGATGACTTGGAAAGGCTGAAGAAGATCAGGTGTGTTATCAGGCCATATGCTTTTGCTACTAACATCTTCACTACTTTTTTCTTATATATTGATTATGTCTGTTGCTGACAGGAATCACCGTGGTTTGCGTCACTATTGGGGCCTCCGTGTCCGTGGTCAGCACACAAAAACCACTGGCCGCAGGGGAAAGACTGTTGGTGTCTCCAAGAAGAGATAGATTATCTACCTATGTTTTATGCTTTCTCTTTAGATTGCGGAATCTGGACACTTGCAAAAAGTTTGTTAGGGTATTTTTGTATTGTTTGCATTTGAACTTTCTTGCCCTGCCTTTTGGAGATCTATAGTTCCTATAAATCTTCCCATGGCAGTGCAAGCATGTTTTAACTTTTGGGATCAAAGTTTTGTCGATTGCACTTGGATTAATACATCAAATATGAGTACTTTTTACGGAGATGCATCCTTTTTTCAATTTCCAGTTTTTCGATATTAGTTGTCGCAGTGGGCGTGTTGGGTTTTTGTTTTCTGAATGCGTTTTGGACCTTGGTGTTCGTCATTTTGATTTATGAAAACATCTCTACATGTTTAAACCGAATAATAGGTAGCGCTGTCCATGGTTATTTTTTTTATGCAAGGGAGAGCTCTCTATTAACTCAAACAATAACAAACTTTCATATGCATCTTCAATCTGCCACTACTGGGAGTAAGGAATTTGAAACCGACTAGATCAAGTATTTGAATACAATTGTCAAAAAGCATGTGACAATTTAATTTGTCCATGTAACAAATGACTCGTTACTTTCGAGGTGTGTGTTGATATCCATGAACATAAATTGAACAAACGTTTTTTTTTTCCTCTTCCGGAGATAAAATTCTATGAAGAGAAATTATATTTTAACACATAAATAAGAAAATAAAAATATTATATTTTAATTAATATTATTTTAAGACGCTTATATAAAGTAAAACCTTAATTCTAAAACCCATAAAAGGCAGTTGAGTCTCTGCTTCACCTTCAGTCGTCTTCGTTCGTTCTTATTTACAGTGTAACAATTCCAAGATGGTCCGAAGCTTAAAGAACCCTAAAAAAGCTAAAACCAACAACAAGGTGCAATTTTTTCTCTCTCATAATTTGTATCTTTTTGCTATTCACTCTGTTCCAGTTTTGCTTCTAGACGAGAGTTAATTTGACTAATTTTTAAAGCTAAATCAAATTAAATTACCGTAATATTTTAAAAGTACTATAAATTGCAATTCTTTTCGTATGAATAGGTTGAGAAAATATATTTTGAAATTTTGATCAAAGTTAATATCCTTATGGTCGAGTTCTGTCATACAAAGCTTGCCTAGTGTAGTTTATTTCTCTTGTGTGGTTTGCGGGTTATTGCATAGGAGCCCAGTCTATGGGTTCCCTTGCCAATAAAAGTTTCTTTTTGATCAAATTTACGTAGTTTGATAATTTTTGTTACATGAAAGAAAATCTGAAATTTGAATATTAAAGAAAGGGGAAGGATCCTCGGATTCCGTGCCCTCGTTGGCAGCTAAAGTATGGCAACCAGGAGTAGACGAATTGGAGGAAGGTGAAGAGCTTCAGTGTGATCCTTCTGCATATAATTCTCTTCATGCCTTCCACATTGGCTGGCCTTGTATGAGGTATTTTCTCTATTGCCAGAGTTGTACCAATTGATATTTGTTTTGTTATGTGCATTGCGAATATTGGGACATGAAGTTTTAAAACAGTTTTGGATGTGATTGATATATTGATTGAATTGGCAGTTTCGATGTGGTGCGTGACTCGCTTGGTTTGGTGCGGACTGAGTTTCCTCATACTGTATATTGTGTAGCAGGAACACAAGTAAGCTCTCTTTTCACACTAAACCGAAAATAATAATGACAATAGCTTAATTGTCGCTAAACATATTTCTTTAGTGACAATTAGCACTCTTTGTAAATGTCGCACATTGGATCCAATGACAATTAAGTAATGCTGGTAAAGGTTGTTTTTGTTGTAATGTCATGTTATGTCAGTTCGACCTGCTTGTTAATTGCGATTAGGATCATCATAACATCCTAAAAGATTCTCTTGAAAAGTTTGGCTTGCAAGCGGAGAATGATGAATTTCTCACTTTTTGGTCAGCTTTGTGATTTTATGATTGGAAAATGCTCTTGTATCGCTAGGCTTCCTTTGTTTTATCATCAAAATCTAGCATAACTAGAGAACATTCGAAAAGATTATGGAAATATATGAGAATGATTCATCACCATCATCGTGTATTAAAACAAGGGACATTCAAGTCAAACTGCTATTTATTTGCTGAATAGACAGGTAGATTGAAAAAATCATGACTATGCTTAACGTTAAAACACTCTGAAAAACCCACATCTGGTGAAAACATTTTGTTTCCCTTGAAAAAGAACAAGTTCGCTCCTATTAACCTAGGGACTTGAAGTGGAATGAAAGGTATGATCCACGCATATTCATATGTTTGTTCTGTTCCATAAAAAAAAATTGAATTCTTAATTAATTGTTTCCGATTCACTGTATCTTACCTCTTTTGAAATGGAAATATCACGAACTAAGGGTGGTCATTTATTTCTAGCCAAGAGTTGTTGGGAATTAGCTTCGGACTTCAGAGGATGATTTCTATACATTGGCCAAACTCTTTTTGATAAGAAAAAGTAATTAGCAAAAGCTATCTGTATTCATTGCAGAAATTCCTTCTGTTTTAGTTTCTGTAATCCAGTTCATTTTTCTAATGAATGTACATTTTGTTCGCCAATGTTATGGTTTAGAATTCCTTTTTATAGTAGGGAAAATGAAAATGGAGAAAACCAAAATTTGATTTAGTAAGAGAAGATTTAAGCTCCTGAAACATATCTTTCAGGCAGAGAAAAGTTCTTGGAACTCGATTGGAATTTTTAAGTTATCTAATATATCTGGAAAAAGGCGAGACTTGGTGCCAAGCGATGAGAACTCTGATATGGACAGTGAAAGTAGCGACAGTGATGAAGAAGAAGAGGAAGCTGTTCTACAGGTACTTTATTTCTTAACATCATCGATAAAGTTAATATGACACTGTTATGTATACATCACATTTTCCAAAATTGTACAGCTACGCAAGGTGTCTCATGAAGGATGTGTTAATCGTATACGTGCTATGGCGCAAAACCCCAATATAGTTGCTTCTTGGGCTGATACTGGTCATGTTCAGGTAAGACCATAAGTTTGAAGTTTTAAATGATAATATAAAAAATAATACGAGTTCTCTAACAAACCCAAATCCTATTTTTCTGCCTAGTAGATAAATCTTTTTCTTCCATTTAGTCCTATCTTTAGCTAAGTTTGCATTGATCCCAAGGACAACTTCCTTCCATATGATTTTAGGTCTACCTTGTGTAGTATAATTTCTCCTCTTATAAGTTTAATGCACTGACAGGTGTGGGATTTTAGCTCGCATTTAAAGGCTTTGGCAGATTCAGAGAGCCACGGGGCTTCTGCAGTCTCTAATCAATCGCCCTTAGTTAAGTTTGGCGGACACAAAGATAAAGGCTATGCTATAGATTGGAGTCCTCTTGAACCAGGGAGGCTTCTTTCAGGTACGACAAATTACTCTTTGCACATAATTACATTCCGTGGTGACATGGCATACTGTCATAGCCTTGGTGAACAGAGTTACCTGGTACTTGTTGCTGGTGGGAGGTGACAGGTATCTCGTGGAATTAGTCGAGATGGGCGCAAGCTGGCACATACATCACGGTTTTTAACAAAAAAGATATTAATTGTTCTAACGTCTGATGTTGTTACTAGGGGACTGCAAGAATTGTATCTATTTATGGGAGCCAACTTCTGGTACATGGAATATTGATGCTAATCCTTTTATTGGACACACTGCAAGTGTTGAAGATCTTCAAGTGAGCGCTCGTATAGCTAGAGTTACCTCACTTTCAACTTTTCTCATTACTTACGCTAAATTCTAAAGCCGACTTTCTCTGATGCAGTGGAGTCCTATAGATCCTTTTAGGTTCGGCTCTTGCTCAGTTGATGGAACTATTGCATTATGGGACATCCGTGAGAGAAATTCTCCTTCTGCAACTATAAAGACACATAAGGCAGATGTCAATGTTATATCGTGGAACAAGTACTGGACCTCAATTGTTGTTACCTTCCACATCTATACTTATGGTTATATTGAAATTTGATTGTTTTTTCACCAGGTTGGCGAGCAATATGCTTGCATCTGGAGGTGATGATGGGACATTTTGTGTTCACGATATTAGATTCGTAAAGGTATTCTGTTAGTACTCTTTAAATTCTTGGCACTTGAATGTATATTGATTCTCTAATACTTGGTGGGCTGGGAAATGCGGATGAGATTAGTAGAAGTTCATCTCGTCCTACTTCCAACCGTCTTCATAGGGGAGAAAGTGTGGTTCTTTTTTTTTTTTAAATGTTCTTTAAGAGAAGGTAATAGGGAAAGAAACAAAAGCTTATTCCTTTGACAGGAAGGACGAGACACTACCGTGGACCTCGTGGCGTACTTTGAATATCACAAACATCCCATCACTTCTATCGAATGGAGTCCTCCTCATGCAGCCTCCCGTGAAGCCTCCTCAATCGTTGCTGTTTCATCATCAGACAATCAGTTGACGTAAGAACTCTAATGGGAATGTTGAACATCCTTAATTATGTCACTACGGATCTGTTTTTGCAATAAGTCTCTATGGACGTGTTTGTCTCACCATCCTTTTTCTATTTATCAGTATATGGGACCTTTCTTTGGAGAGAGATGAGGAAGAGGAGGCCGAGTTCAAAGCTCAAATGAAAGAGCAAGTCAATGCCCCAACAGATTTACCCCCACAACTTCTCTTCGTCGATCAGGTACTTATGTTGATCTCTATTTCTCTCTGATGAGAGCAAAGTTTATCTGCTTTAAGTTTATTCTGAGTGTTAGTGGTCAAAAACAGACTCAAAGTATTACATTTTCGCGAGTTCCTTACCTGAACTATAATTATTACCAATTTTTTAAAAGGAAAAGGCTCAAATATGCCATTGAACTTTCAAAAAAGACTTATTTATGCCATCCGTTAAAAGTTTGGCTCACCTATGCCATTACCGTTTAAGAAAAGACTCATTCATGCCATTATTTTTTAACAGTAGTTTTGCAAAACCATTTTTTACACGTGGCCAATTATAATTCGGCCACGTCATTAATTTTTTTTATACAAAAAATTGAAATTCTGAACAAAAATTGAATAAAAAAAAATTATGACGTTGCCGAATTATAATTCAATTTTTATTCAGAATTTTGATTTTTTTTATAAAAATAATAATGATGTGGCCAAATTATAATTGGCCACGTGTAAAAAATGGTTTTGCAAAACCACTGTTAAAAAATAATGACATGAATGAGCCTTTTCTTAAACGGTAATGACATAAATGAGCCAAACTTTTAACGAATGACATAAATGAGCCTTTTCTGAAAGTTCGATGGCATATTTGAGCCTTTTCCCTTTTTAAAATCAAAACACACACCGACTATCAGTTGTTCCCTTTTCCTATCTGAAATATCACCATCATTCAGGTAGGAAAAGTGAACACCATATAGTTTAGGTAAGAAACACATAAAAACGTGATACTTCAGGTGTGTTTTTGACCATTTCTCGCAAAAATATGATACTTTAGGTGTGTTTTTGACCATAATCTCTTATTCTGATGACATTTCTCTTGCACTCGTAACAGGGTCAGAAAGATTTGAAAGAACTTCACTGGCATCCTCAGATCCCAGGAATGGTTATATCCACAGCAGCAGACGGATTCAACGTACTTATGCCATCAAACATTGAAAACGCGCTTCCTGCTTGATACTTCCTTCGTTAAATACGCAAGTAATGTTTGATAGTTCGTTCCTATTTCGTTGGTGCCTAACTCTATGTGATGACATTTATTCCTTTAACATTTATTGTGCTTGAGTTCCACCAGTTTATTCCCAGAATGGATCCTTTGAACTATATCAATACATACAAATAAACACATTACATTATTTACTTCTATGATGACGCAACAAGAAGAGTCTAGTCTAAAGCTAATTGCTTGTATATGAAATGAGTATACGAATTTTTCGTATTCCCTCTATACTTGATGCACCTTTGTGTACATGTTTTGTTCCAGGTTCGAGTGACGCCGTGGCGGAGCCACATGTAGTTGAGGGGTGTCGACCGACACCCCTCCATCGGAAAATTACACTGTGTAGCTATAGTAAAAATATTTTTTATGTATATGTATTACATATTGACACTCTTTGAATTCTACGTGATTTTATTTCTTTTTATTTTGACACCCCTTAGTCGAAGTTCTGGCTCCGCCACTGAGTGACGGTTATGGAAGTTAAATAGTCAATAACTGCTCTAAATATTATACCGAACAAGCTATTTCTTATGCTCTCGACGATATTAGTGCAAAAAGATCTGTATAATGAAATCCTTATCGGAAGAAAATTTTGCCTACTAGAGATTAAAAAATCTACTAATATATCCTATATATATGATTGTTATTTTTTTTTCTTCAGTTTTCTCTTTTAATAAAACCAAATTAAATCAAATACTATTGGTTTTTGAAAATTTCAAACTGAATCAAATACAAATAACTATTGATTTATTTAATCGGTTTGATTCGATTTTTAACCAAACCATGAACACCCGTATAAAACATTATTTTAAAAAACTGAAATACCTAGGATGAGTGATTTTATATGCCATTGATCTTTGAGAAAAAAATCGTCTATGTCCTCGGTTAAAAACTTGGCTCATCTATGTCATTTCCGTTTGAGTAAAGACTCATCAATGCCATTATACATTTAACAGATGATATAAATGAATCTTTTTTGAAAGATCAATGACATATTTGAACATTTTCCCTTTTAAAAAAATAATTTAATTAGTGACGTGGCCGAATCATAGTTAACCACATGTAAAAAATGGTTTTGCAAAACATAACTGTTTTTAGTTAACGAATAATGACATGGATGAGCCTTTTCTTGAATGAAAACGACATAGATGAGCCAAAATTTTAATGAATGACATAGATGAATATTTTCTCAAAGTTCGATGACATATTTGAGCCTTTTCCCTTAAAATTATTTATAAATATATTAATATACTGTATATACATAATTATAAAAATTATGTATATAATTGTCATTTTATTCTTCAATTTGTTTTAATAAAGCCAAATTAAATCAAATACTATTGCTTTTTTAAAATTTAAAATCAAACCAAATTCAAATAATTATCAATTTATTTAATCGGGTTGATTAAATTTTTAACCGATTCCATGAATACCGTATATAACATTTTAAAAAAAACTAAAATATAGATGATTCTATTTTTATTTTTTTTGTAACTAACTATTTTATTACCAAAAGTAGACAGTTACTTTACCGCTAAAAAAAAACCCAGGAATCCTCCAAGCTGCAGGAGAGAAAGAAAAGTCCTACTCCAACTCTTCATCAAAAGACGTGTTCCCCCAAATTGTGGTGTAAACACAATTCTTCCAAATTCCAATACACGAGAGAATATATCAGTTCTAAATCATAAAGTTATTACGCACGGAGGAAACAAACTGTCTTAATTAGTGCCATGGATAGAATTTCACTGTTACCAAGAGAGATTCTTCACCAAATACTCTCTCTTCTCCCAACTAAAACTGCTGCTCGAACCGCTGTGTTGTCCAAGCTATGGCTTAAAGCATGCTATACCAATCCCCATCTTAATTTTGATCAGTTTAATTTCTACACTTCTTCTGATGAATCTGATTTCGACACTTCTGATGATGAATCTGATGATGAAGCTGAAATTGAAGCTGATTTTGAACCACGGCATAGCGATAGATTTTACGAATCTCATGTCGAATTCTCAAGGATTAGACAGTATTTTGGAAAGATATCGCCGTGAAAATCTACCGATTTGATTTTAACATTCGTATCTCTTTTTCTGATCAAACTGATTGTGAAGGTCTAGTCGATAAATGGTTAGATATTATAACAGAGACGAGTGTTAAATTAGGTGTTAGGCCTAACTCACACCCCAAAAGCTAGCTCAAAGGGAGGAGGATTGCCCAAGCCTTGTAAGGAGTCCACCCATCTCATTAACCACCGATGTGGGACTTTTGTCATTCTTTAACACCCACCTCACACCTAGTGCTTAGCATCTGGTGCGTGGGCAATTTTGATTTTTGGGGGCCCCAACATCGGGTGAGACGGGTCATGCTCTGATACCATGTTAAATTAGGTCTTAGGCTTAACTCACATTCCAAAAGCTAGCTAAAAGGGAAGAGGATTGCCCAAGTCTTATAAGGAGTCCACCTATCTCATTAACCACCGATGTGAGACTTTTGTCATTCTTTAACAACGAGGGCTTCACAGGTTACACTTTTGGTGGAAAGCAAAATCGATGATTATTCCGAAAGATATACTCTGTTAGTTGATACAATCTTCGCAATAGAATCGTTGCAGCAGCTGGAGCTAAATCACTGCAAAATACTGAAACAGAAAACACTACTTTCCTACGATAAAATTAGGTGCATTCACCTAAAAAATCTCACATTGCAATTTGTTACTATTTCTGAATCAACACTCAACGCTCTAATTTCATGTTCCCCTCGGATGGAGACGAAATCACTTCAATACTCTATCGGGTTCAATTGCATTCGTGTTACAAAAAGTCTTCATAACCTTTTGTCTCTTAGTATCTTGTCCTGTCAAATTGAGGAAGTTCATATTTTCGATGCACCAAAATTGTTATCTTTCGAATATGAGAACGAGTGGGAAGCTTATTCACCTGATAAAATATGTCTGTGTGTGTTGAATATTGGTACTTGTCGGAATCTGAGAAGAGTAGAATTTGTGGAAGCTGGAATTGATGATACGTTTCTCTTCGAGTTTATACCAAAATACAGTTCATCAATGAGTTGATCTTACAGTTTTGTGAGTACTTGAAAGAAATAAATATCTCAAGTTCAACACTCGAGGTTTGTAGTATAGTTAAGTGTGATTTATTAGTACAAGCCATTTTTGATACACCGAAGTTACTCTCCTTAGCCTTCTCCAAACAATGTAAACTACCCTGTTTATCTTTCGTAAGTGCTTCAAGCCAATGCAGAATTTCCATAATGTATGACACTATAATGGATACCGAGCAGTTGATGAACTTATGGAGATCTCTAGTTGAGTTGCGTGATCAGGTTGTAGATTTGACATTGCCTAGTATTGATAAGGATTTGAGATTAGCAAGTGAAATTGATCATCTTCCTCCGCCTGAAGTTGACAATTTATCATCTTACTGTCCGAATTCAGCATATTCATCTTACTTTGATCTCCTCTTCTAGATTTGTTGCCCCAAGAGTTTAGTAATACAGTACTGTGACCAAGATTTTGGAGAGTTTCTACTTCGACAGTTGTTGAAGGAGAAGGAGAGACGATGGAGATTTATCGAATGTACTTGGAAAGAGTATCTCATGAATGCTGAGATAGAGTACAAGGAAAGGACACGAAACGATTGGATGACACTTGATAGGAAAATGTTGGCAGCTGACTCTCGTATTTTTGATGAGACTAATACAATGTGCTTCAAGCAAACTCAAAGAAAAGAGAAGAATAAATATTCTTGTATTTCCAGGTAACGATTCGTTATGTACAATGTGTGAATTATGATTAGGTCCTCTCTATTTCCGAACAATAAATGAAGTTTGTTATTTGTGCAGATGGATTCCGAGTTGGATAGCTCATATTGGAGTGATCGTTATGGATAACTCATTCTTCTTTGCTTTATTTCTTCGTGTTATTTGCTTTATTTCTTTGCTCCCATTTTTATTTCTTCTTTATTTGTTCTGTAACGTGACTTTATTGTAAGTTGTTCTCTTTCCTTTTCTTTGTAATACTTGCTTTGAGGTTCGTAGTTTATGATAAATTATCAGTTGCATTCGTGTTTGAAACCTTTTTAATATTTAGTCTCTTAATTAATGTCTCGTGTTTCCGAGTTGAGGAAGTTCATATTGTTGATGCACCAAAAATGCTATCTTTCGAATATCTGAACCAAGATAACAAGGTGTAAGAATCAGTCAAGACATTTGATGTCTACAGGGTTCTTACAGAGTCGGAGCTAGAAGGTTACATACAGGTTCAGCTGAGATCAATAGTTGTAGTTCAAAGTTCAAACCATGTATTTGTAGTAAGAGATCCACTAAATATGTATAAAACTAAGTTCATGATACCTTTGTGGGGTAGAGAAGATGTTTCCATAGACCCTCGACTCAAAAGGAATGTATCCAATACAGGATTAAAATAAAATAAAATAAAACAATAAAATATCAAGGTACAAGACAAGTGCAGCAACGGATTGAAAAATAAGAAACTTTGTGATTGTTATCTCCTGTATTAAGGTTAGCAAACCAAAAATAGAAAATAGATGAAACAAACAGAAATAATAATCTGAGTCCACAGAACCCATTGTGTTTCTTTAAGAAATTTAATCCCCTCAAGTACCCGAGGTTGCAGATTAATTCCTCCCAAGATAAAACGGATTAACCTATTAGAGAAGTAGCGGTACCTCAAACTTCAATAATTTCAGCGAACGTAAGAACAGTAACGAGAGCACACACAGACTCAGTCGATCGACAATTTTGTTTATGTAAGAAAATGTATGCAGAGAGGAAACATTTTCAGTGAATGAAAAACGGAAAAAACCTCTTATTTATAGCCAATTGCAGCAAGGAACGCGTCTGTTCGGACAATGGTGTCTTTCCAGAACGTTGTGTCTTTTTGGGAAAAGTAACGTCTTTTCGGAAGGAACAGGTCCCTTCAGAACGTTTCTACCATTACATGCGAATTTCAAATAAATTTCGTTACGCGAAATTAATTCTGTTAAATAACTAACATTCTGAATTAATTTATAAGAGAAAGGAAATCAGTTAATGAGATTGATTAAATAAATTTTGTCCAAAAATATTATCAATTAATCACATAACTAACATTTTGAATTAATTTATAAGAGAAAGGAAATCAGTTAATGAGATTGATTAAATAAATTTTGTCCAAAAATATTATCAATCAATCACATCATTTGCCAAATCTAAATCCAAAGTCGAGCTAGGGGGCACCTTCTTCTTAACCAGGGGCGGACCCACGTGGTATCGAGGGGTTACTCGAACCCCCTCGGTAAAAAATTACACGGTATATATAAGGTAAATTTTCTGTATTTCTGTAGATATATATATTTTGAACCCCCTCAATAACAAAGAGAAACTAATGGCGCAATGGCAAGTACTCCTAAAATTAAGTTGTACGTCACCGGTTCAAATCCCAGTGAAAGCGTTTTATTTTTTTCAGTTTGCTTTAGTTTTTTTTTTACTTTAAAAAATGTGCTAAAAGTTTGGTTTTAAACCCAAAAGAATTCAAGATTTCAATTTCTAACGGCTTATTTACACGTTTATATTTTATTTTTCAAACCTCCTGAACGAAAATCCTGGGTCTGCCACTGTTCTTAACCCTTTAAGAAAAGTAAGTGTTTCCTAATATAAAGACAACAATTTCCTTTCTTCTACCAATATGGGAAAAATGACTTTTCATCTTCAAATACATTTCATTTGAAATGACTTTTCATTTTCCCTCCAAATTGGTTCTTTTTCCATTTTCTCTTTTATTTCCCATTCACACCTTTGCTAAAACCCAATAGTGATAACTAAAAGAGATGAAGAGAGGAGGAGGCTAGCCCATGTCTCTCTCACACACAAAGTGAGACAACACCCAGCTACCTACTAACCTTCTATCCTAATACTTTGAACTCCGTCAAATTATTGGGTTAATTAAAGAAAATAAGAAAAAATAAAGCAAAGAAGATAGCTTGAAGAATGAGTTATCTATACCGATCACTCCATGATGAGGTATCCATTTCAGAAATAACAAACTCCATTAATTGTTAGGAAAGGGAAAGGGGATGGAAACTGGAAGACGTGATCAATATCATAATTCATACATTGTACAGCGTAAGGCGGATTGTTTTCATCTCTTCAATAATACGAGTGTCAGCTGCTAATATTTTCCTATCAAGAGCAATCCAATCGTCTTGTGTCCTTTTCTTGTACTCTATCTGAGCATTCATCATATACTCCTTCCAAGTACATCTCGGAAAACTCCATTGTCTCTTCTTCAACAATTGTTGTCGTAGATACTTCCTAAATCTTTTGTCACTTTCCTGAAATGTTAAACTCTTGGGCCAACAAATCGAAAAGATGAAATTTCAGATCTGCAATTCACCAAAAGTGAAACCTGTAAAACACTTTTCTGTGCTATGATATATCTAGCCATTTATCGATTAGACCGTCACAATCAGTTTGATCGGAAAAAGAGATGCGAAGGTTAAAAGCTGAAATCTGTAGATTTTCACGGCGATATCTCTCCAAAGTATTGTCTACAATCGTCACGAATTGATCATGAAAGTTATGCAGCCACGGTGGTTCAGAATCATATTGATCAAAACAGAGATAGGGATTTGTATAGCATGCTTTAAGCCTGAAATGCATTTTTCACGGGAAATGTTTAATACCACAAAATTAAATGATATTTTGGAACATTCTACATATTATTAGTTTAAAATCACAAATTTTAAAAATCTTCTTTACGTTCTTTATACTTTGTGTCGAGTCACTCATCAGACAAACAAATTGAAACAGATGGAGTAGTATAGTTCTCAAATTCCTGTTCTTCAGCACTGAGTGGATTGGTTAGCATTAATCCTGCAGTAATGTATATGAAAAGTGATATTGTTTATGCAAGTATCGAATGATGGTGTTTCAGACAGCTCGCATTTCTATCACGTATTTGTTAACATGTAAATCTGCGCACCAAGACTTTGACAGATATAAAGAACTATCTAGTAGTACTTTTTGTTGTAAGTCGACAAAAATATCAAATCCAATCAATTCGAGACCATACCAACAGCATAACATTGGAGGTCCAATGGAGAAAATGAAAATAAGCTTAAATGGACATAAACAGCTAACCAAGAACATTTAGAAGGTCTCCTCCACCAGCACTTCTTCAACAATTGTTGACATACGAACTTTCTAAATTTGTTGCCACAATGTACAGTTAAATTCTTGGGCCAACAAATCCAGAAGACGTCATTTAAGTAAGATGAATATGACGTAATTGACCAGTCACAATAAGTTAATATCAAATTCTCAACTTCAGTTGAGGGAAAATGATCAACTCCACTTGTTGCTCTCAACCCTTTACCGATACTATCCACTGTCAAGTCTACAACTTTATCATTCAACTCAACCAGATATCTCCTTAAGTCAATGATGTGCTCGGCATCAGATGGTAGATCGCCATACTTTATGGAAATTCTGCATTGGCTTGAAGCACTTTCAAAAGATAAACAAGGTAGTCTTATACGTTCACCAAAATCCTGCATTGGCTTGACGACTAAGAAGAGTAACTTGGGCACATCAAAAGTGGCTTGCACTAACCATGCACAACTTTATATGCTACAAACCTAGAGTGTTGAACTTGAGATTTTTATTTTCTTCAAGTACTTACAGTAGTGTAAGATCAACTCCTTGATGAAGTGTAGTTTTGGTATAAGCTCGAAAAGAACCACATCATCAATCTCAGCTTTCACAAATTCTACCCTTCTGAGATTCTGACAAGTACCAATCTCTAACGTCCGCAAACTTATGTCATGAATCATGATTATGACGATATAAACGCTCGGAATCACCTTTGTTCACATATTCGAAAGATAGCAGTTTTGGTGCATCACCAATATGAACTTCTATAATTGGGCATTTAAAGATATGAAGAGACAAAAGATTAGGAAGATTTTTCGTAACACGAATGCAATTGAACCCCAAACAGTGTTGAAATGATATCTTCTGGATCTGAGAGCAACACGAAATTAGACTATCAAGTACTGATTCAGTAACAGTAACATAGCACAAGGTTAGATTTTTTAGGTTACTGCACTTAATTTTATCTTCGGAAAGTAATGCTTTTTGCTTCAATATTCTGCAGCAATTTATCTCCAACACCTGCAACGATTCTGATGCAAGTATATGTAGTCGAGTTAGTTAAAATGAATGTAAAGGAATCTGAAAATCTGTTAGAAGCTGTTAGAACTGTTAGGCAGTTAACACTGTTCAGCTGTCAAGAAATTAGTTAGTTAGTTACTTTTGTTGTATTCTTCTTTAAGTCATTTTACCCATTGATTAGTTGTATAAATACATGGGAAATGTACTGATTCACTCATCATTCTATTCTTTCTTCCTTCTTCTACATCTTCTCAACTAATCTTCTCGGTTGTACCCTGAATTAGTTTTCATCTTCT